CTCCTCAGGACACCATGGGTATTTACAGCCCTGCTCAGGCTCCAGGACTGATGGGCTCCCCTGTTCTTCTCAGCCCTCACTCCAACCCAATCCAATCTCTCCTAAATCATCGGGGCAGCTCCTGTCTGCCTCCCCCTCCCTCAGCATCCAGAAAATCCATCCCAAAGCAGAGCAAAGCACTTTGCACAGGACTGAAGCCTCTGGGGGTTACAGGGCAGAGGAATGCACAACAAATTATCCCTGGAGAGCTGCAGCTCCTGGCACAGGGGCACTTGCAAAGCAAATATTTCACTGCTCCCAGAGCAGGCTAAAAGACAATTTCTTTACCTAAAGCCACGGTGATGGATGTGGAGAGGGAGGGGGAATTCAGCCGGTGGAAAAGCAACAGGTTGGGAATAAAGGAGGAGGAGATGTGGCTGCCCCATCCCTGCAGAGTTCAAAGCCAGTTTGGACAGGGCTGGGAGCAACCCGGGGTGGGCTGAGATGAGATCTGAACCCTCCCAACCCAAACCGCTCTGTGGTTCTGTGACTCCATCAAAGAACACAAACCTGTGCCCTCCAAAGCCCCAGAGGGCACATCCAGCACTGCCTGGAGCAGCAGGGGCTCCCTCAGGGCTCTGCTGGCTTTGTTGGTGTTCACGGGGTGGTTCTGGGCTCTCATCTCTGCCTGGGGAGTGCTGGGGCTCCCAGAGCAGGAGCCTGCTCTGTTCCACCCCTCAGAACAGGGAAATCCTCCCCTGTGCCTGAATTCACCATGGCTGGGCTGGGAGCAGCTCCTGAGCCCATGAGGCAGCAGGGATTGTGGAGGATGGTTCTGCAAGGTGAATTCTGCACCTACACACCTGGGCACTGCCTGCTGAGGAAGGTGCTGCTCTTCCCCCAGCACCTCACCTCACCTGGGGTTCCACCTGAGGAGCACCAGAACTGAGGGATCATGAGCTGGGAAATAAGGAATGGAAAATTCACAGTTGTTTTTGGGCAGGGAGGAGGCAGTGAGGGCAGAGGGAGAGCCTGCTCAGCACCAGCTCCTCTGCCCCTGCAGCTCCCACCTGCCAGGAGCCCTGATGCCCAGGCTGGGCTGGAAAGGACCCTCCTGGGATGTTTTCCTCACCCCTAACACAGGAACTTCCTCCCAGCCACCATTTCCATCCTGCTGATTTAAATTCCTCATCTGCAGCCTTTGATTAGGTGCTGAAATCTTTTGGAGCCAGCAATCCCTGCCCTGGGTTTGATCGAGCTCCTCTCACTCCTGCCTTAAAAATAACCAAATTCCTCCTTCTGTCAGAGCTGTGAAAATCTTTGGCCCCGGTTTTGCTGACGCTTACACAATGCCCACAGCCCTGCCAGGGGGAGCAGAGGGGGCTCCTGCAGCCCTGGGGCCACCAGAGCACCCTCATCCCAAGGATTGATGGGGCTGGAGCTTGCAGACACTGAGGAAACCCAACTGACAGCCAGACAATTGATGCTGCTGGGCTGAAGTACAGAGCCACTTCTGCTCAGCACCAGCAGCACTTGTGGGAGCCTCAGCCCTTCCCTCTGCAAGGGGGAGAGCAGAGATTTTCTGCGTGTGCAGGGGGTGTTGGTGAGGGCTCTGTGACAAAATGGGGATTTTTAAATCAGGGGCGTTGCTGGCTCCACAATTGTCAAACATTGCCATTAACCCCTCACCTGCTGTTTGATCAGCCCTGGGTGCACCTCGTGTATCACCAGTGAAGCAGCAACCAATT